CTCACTCTGTTATAAAGCAGAAACTAACACACCATTGTAAAGCAATTATACCCCAATAAAGATGTTAAAAAAAAAAAAAAAAAAAGACCTAAATAAATGGGAAGACATCCTGTATTCATGGATTGGAAGACTTAATATTGTTAAGATGGCAATACACCCCAAATTACCTACAGATTCAATGCAATTCCTATCAAAATCCCAGACAGTTTTTTGACAAGTTGGTCCTAAAATTCATATAGAAATGCAAAGGATCCAGAATACCCAAAGCAATCTTGAAAAAGAACAAAGTTGAGGGACTTCCCTGGTGGCGCAGTGGTTGGGAATCTGCCTGTCAATGCAGGGGACATGGGTTCGAGCTCTGGTCCAGGAAGATCCCACGTGCCACGGAGCAACTAAGCCTGTGTGCAGCAACTACTGAGCCTGTGCTCTAGAGCCCGTGAGCCACAACTACTGAGCCCGCATGCTGCGACTACTGAAGCCTGTGCGCCTAGAGCCCGTGCTCTGCAATGAAGAGTAGCCCCTGCTCGCCATTAACTAGAGAAAGCCCGTGTGCAGCAACGAAGACCCAATGCAGCCAAAATATAAAATAAAATAAAAATTACTGAAAAAAAGAGAACAAAGTGGAAGGACTTACACTGCCATAAAAGTAAAGGTAAGTAAGATTTACATAAAGTTATAGTAATCAAAACAATGAACAATGTGGCATTGGCATAAGGATAGATACATAGACCAGTGGAGTAGAGTTGTAAGACCAGAAATAAACCCACACATCTATGGTCAATTTATTTTCAACAGGATGCCAAGACTATTAAACAGGAGAAAGAATAGTCTCTTAAATGGTGTATCCACACACCAAAAACTGAAGTTGGACCCCTCTTCAACACTGTATTAAAAAATTAACTCAAAAGGGCCAAAGCCTAAATATAAGAGCTAAAAGAATAAAACTCTTAGGAGAAAGCATAAGTATAAATCATCAGGACCTTGGATTAGGCAATGGTTTCTTATGACACCAAAATTACAAGCAACAAAAATAGACAAATTGGACTTCATCAAAATTAAAAAATTTTTTTTTCAATGGCTATCATAAAGAAAGTGAAAGAACAACCAACCAAATGGGAGAAAACATATGTCCACACAAAAACTTGTATACAAATATTCATAACAGCATTATTTATAATAGGCAAAATTGGAAACAACCCAAATATTCATCAACAGATGAATAGATAAACAAAACATGTGGCATATCCGTACAATGGAATACTATTCAGTCACAAGAAAGGTATGAAGTTCTGATACATGCTACAATATGGATGCACTTGAAATTATTACGCTAAGTGAAAGAAGCTAGACACAAAAGACCACATGTTGTATGATTCCATTTATATGCAATGTCCAGAGTAGACAGATCTATAGAGGCAGAAAATAGATTGGTGATTGCCAGGGGCTAGGGCTGGGTGGATCTGGGGAGTGAGTGGTAATGGGTATGGGGTCTCTTTTGGGGATGAATGAAGTGTTCTAAAATTAGATAGTGGCCATGGTTGCACAACTTTACGAATATACTAAAACCACTAAATCATACACTTTAAAAGGGCAAATTTTACAGTATGTGAATTAATCTCAATAAAGCTGTTATAAAATAAATGAAAAATCCATCCTGCACAAAACAAAAAATATTTGTTAAGTGCATGAAAGAATGAATGAATCTATTCATATTGTATGTTCTTGAAAACATATCTTGGAGTTTGTTCCATATCAGTACTAGATGGGTGTATTCAAATTCTTTATTTTAAATACATGTTGATAGATATTTAAGTCATTTCCAACCCTTTGCTCTTACAGACAGTGCTGCACTGAATGTCCTCACTGACAGACCATTTCACAATTTATAAGATAGATTCCTGGAAGACAAATTGCTAGGTCAAGGGAGTTTGCATTTTTAAAGCATGAGCGATATTGCTAAATTTCTGTCCATAAAGAAGTTGCACCCATTTACCCTCCTACCAGCTGTGTAACAGCGGGCCTGTTTCCCCACACCCTCACCCATACAGTGAGTTATCCTTTTGATCTGGGGCAATCTGAGTGGTAACGCTTGGTATCTCACTGTCATCTAAATTTACCTTTCTCTGTTTATGAGAGAGACTGGAAAGACCACAGCCATTCCCAGTCATCTCTGAAGCTGTCACAGCTGTTGTAGGGTTGAGGACTCTGGAACTCACTATGGAAATGTAGAATCAGGGCTTGACAGCCTGGGAAGCTGCGCGGAAATTCCAGAATAGGGTGTGTGTCGTAACATGAAATAGCTTTGCCATCCTGAAGCATGAATGTCCACTGGGCTTCTCCTCTGCGTGGGCTGCTCTCCCAGGTTCAGAAGAGAGCTGGTTCATCAGGAAGGCTCTCAGGGCTCTAAGGGTCATTAGATGTTGAAAGTGCAGTTCTTCCATTGCTCATGCCTCCACTTGAATTCAGAAGCGCACATCAAGGGAGAGAGGGATGGGGGAGGGAAGGACTGGGAGTTTGGCGTTAGCAGATGCAAACTAGCAGATACAGGATGGATAAACAACAAGATCCTACTGCATAGCACAGGGAACTGTATTCAGTATATTGTGACGAACCTTAATGGAAAAGAATAAGAGAAAGAATATTAAAAAAGAGCATGCATATCAAGAGGCTGGGAGAAATCAGTGGCCTGGTGTTATGTCAAAACACATCATACGGGTACTGGTCAGGTTCACACAAACTAGATCTAGGTGAAATGAGTGGAATACCTCTGAAAAATAATCACAGCTTTATTTTGTGTTTTCTTTCAGGAACTGTCTATCTTGACCATGCAGGAGCCACGTTGTTCCCCCAGAGCCAGCTTACAAGCTTCACTAAAGATCTCATGGAAAATGTTTATGGTAAAGAACAACACAGCATAACTGATTTTGCACTGAACATTAGCCAACTACATTCAGCTAATATATCTATGCTTAATAAAATGTCACATTAATAGGCGGGGACAGTGCTGAACACACAAAGCTGAGTAAGCCCCTTGAGAGAGGGGGTCAGGCAAGCAAGCACCCAGGGTCAGTCCCTGTAGCACATGTGCTGCTGGGTGGGAGGGACTGCCTCAGAGACACACAGGTTACTTCCAGAAGAAGCGGTCAGTGGCAGGAAGGGCACGGGGTGCTGTGTTTGGTGGTGGGATGACCCTGTGGGACCAGCACAGTGCAGAGGGTGGGACAGCAGGAGGAACGTTCATTCATTCATTCATTCATTCATTCATTCACTCTGTAAATGTTTATGAAGCCACTCTGGTGTTGGGGGCATGGTGCTGTAATGGGAACAAAGTAATACAGTCCCTGCCTTTGTAGACTATGGTCTAGTAAAGACAAGACCTCAGTCAAGTGATCTCCAAATAAATGTTAAAAAAAAAAAAAAAGAAAAGTAAAGTAGTGTAAACTGTAAATAAAGTAAATTATCAATTGAGCAAAGGGCTGTGACCAAAAGGCCCCGGCGCTCTGGGGGGCTCTGTATCTGCAGAGTGACGGTGAGTTGGCAGCGTGAGTGTCACAGAAAGCTTCTATAGGAGTGGGGCGGATGCTGGAGGAAGAGCAGGAATTCACTCGGAAAAGAGGAGAGGCCAGATTAGGCAGAAGGAACAGCGCGAGCCAAGACCCTGCGGTGGCTTCAGGAAGCAGCCCAGAAACGGGGAGGGAAGGAGAGCGGTGCAGATGTGAGTGGGGAACTGCGGAGCAGCAGCATACAGGTAACTTCTTCCACCTGGCGTGGGTGTCAGTATCTATAAAACAGCTCAAAGGCCGGAAGTTGCTTTTTGAGGCAGTGTGCGGGATAGTGTGGTCTTTGTGAGCTTCCACCATGGCGTACCGGGGCCAGGGCCAGAAGGTGCAGAAGGTGATGGTGCAGCCAATCAATCTCATCTTCAGATACTTGCAAAATAGATCTCGGATTCAGGTGTGGCTTTATGAGCAAGTGAATATGCGGATAGAGGGCTGTATCATTGGTTTTGATGAGTATATGAACCTCGTATTAGATGATGCAGAAGAGATTCATTCTAAAACAAAGTCAAGAAAACAACTGGGTCGGATCATGCTAAAAGGAGATAACATTACTCTGCTCCAAAGTGTCTCCAACTAGAAATGATCAATGAAGTGAGAAATTGTTGAGAAGGCAATACAGTTTTTTTAGGTGTGCTTTGTTAGAAGTGTAGTTCTAAAGCATTTATTCATATTGTTTTGCTCACCTTTATGTTATTACCAGATGACAATAAATGCTGTGGGATTGTTTTTTTTAAAAAAAAAAAAACAGCTCAAAGGATAGGGCCCAGAATCTATAGCCCTTGAGGAGGAACTAAAGGTCCTTGACTTTGTTTGATGGCTAAACCATTATTATTTTGTCTTGCTTGACTTTTCCTTTCTTACTGCATTTTCTCACTTCCCTGATTAAATTTGGAACTTGGGGAAGGCTGGGTCCTATGATATTTATTTTGCTTACATTTTGAGAAACTGAGGGAGACGATTTTGGAGGAACACAAAAGGAGAGACTATAGGGCTTCCCTGGTGGCACAGTGGTTGAGAGTCCGCCTGCCGGTGCAGGGGACACGGGTTCGTGCCCCGGTCCGGGAGGATCCCACATGCCGCGGAGCGGCTGGGCCCGTGAGCCATGGCCACTGAGCCTGCGCGTCCGGAGCCTGTGCTCCGCAACGGGAGAGGCCACAACAGTGAGAGGCCCGCGTACCGCAAAAAAAAAAAAAAAAAAAAGGAGAGACTATAAGTAGTGACCCAACGGCTTTGTCTTTGTAACCTGCCAGGTAATCCTCACAGCCAGAACATCAGCAGCAAGCTCACCCATGACACGGTGGAGCAGGTGCGCTACAGGTGAGCAGCAGAGGTGCCAACTTGTGTGGCACCTGTGGGTGGATGGACTTCCTACCACCTGCCCACATCCCACAAAGCTTCTGAGCTGGTTTCAGGAAGATCACGTTCAGCTAAATGGCCACACATGCACGCTGATAACCATCAGGGTCAGAGGACAGGAAGGTGAGGCTGAGCAGGTGCAGAGCGGGGCCGACCAGAAGCACAGGTAGGCACCTCTGAGGTGCCCAAGCTGTTGTGTGTGGCTCTGGGCTGGTGCCAGAGTTCCTGGGGGCCAGAGTGACCCAGGTTCCTAAGTCTTCTTTTCAGGGAGAAAAAAAATGCTTTCTCTGTTTTATGTTCTTTTCGTATTTCAGATTTAGACATCTTGTTTTTTCAGTTTTCCCCCCTTTACTAATATTTGCACATGACAGATTAATTAGTTTTTGGCAAATAATTTAGGTGGTACCTAAAGATATGTGAATCTATACAATTTCAAATTATTTCCAGTTTGAAAATGATACTGTTTTGCTATAGGGTTGCCCATATTAAAAGCAATGTTAAACAAGTTGATGATTGAAAACTTGTTATGATAGAGCCAGACAGTAGACCGAGAAGGGGTGTTTTCAACTGAGTTTAAGGTAGTTGTGGATTTTTGTCTTCTCCATGTGGGGGTGGGGATTTGGGAGGCTGGGTGATTTTGCCGGTTTGTACCCATTTGCCATCTCTTCCCACAACCTCCTCTGCCCCTGCCCTAACTTCACAATGTGGCAAACCCTATCTGGCTTTTTCCTAGCTCTTAAGGTAGAGAGATGTCGTATTTAGTTGAAATACAACTAGCTCCAAACATTTAACACTGGAGGGAAACCAAGGAGTTCCCTGATGCTGTGCCTCTTCCAGGATCCTGGCACACTTCCACACCTCCCCAGAGGACTACACTGTGATTTTCACGGCCGGGAGCACAGCTGCTCTTAAACTGGTGGCAGAGGCTTTCCCGTGGGTGCCCCCAGGCCCAGAAAGCAGCGGGAGTCACTTCTGTTACCTCACTGACAGCCACACGTCTGTGGTGGGCATGAGGGAGGTCACCGCAGCCATGAACATCACTTCCATCCCAGTCAGGCCAGAGGACATGTGGCTGGCGGAAGAACAGGATGCTACCACTGCCAGCGACCCTGACGGCCAGCCTCTGCATCTCTTCTGCTACCCAGCTCAGAGTAACTTTTCCGGGACCAGGTACCCGCTGTCCTGGATAGAAGAGGTCAAGTCCGGGCGGATGTGCCCCGTGGGCGGGCCTGGGAAGTGGTTCGTGCTGCTGGATGCGGCTGCCTACGTGGGCACCTCGCCTCTGGACCTGTCGGTTCACCAGGCCGACTTTGTCCCCCTCTCCTTCTATAAGATCTTTGGCTTCCCCACCGGCCTGGGCGCCCTGCTGGTGAGTAGCCGCTCAGCTCCTCTGCTGAGGAAAACCTACTTTGGAGGAGGCACGGCCGCTGCATACCTTGCAGAAGAAGACTTCTATATCCCCAGAGAGTCGGTGGCTGAAAGGTAACCCGGCGATGGGAGTGGCCGCTGGAGTTCAGCAAGGCTCAGGTCTGGCCTATGCCACCTGTAGGATGGTGCAAGGGAGGTGCTGGTTGGCAGGGCCCGGATCCGGGAGTCAGAGGTCAGCTGGAGCTGCCACAGCAGGCTGTGAACTCTGCCCTGTGTGTGGGCTTCTCCACAGCTGTGGGAGGATGAGGGCCTGCAGGGAAGGGCTGCGAGCAGAAGAGATGAAGGCCTTCCAGGGAGTAAGGAGGATGGGCCCCAGGCCTTTTGCCGCAGCACTGACATGAGGGGGCAGCAATTGAAGCAGTGATTTAAAAGGATGGTGCCATTTGGGACAAGTATGCATACATGTTGACAGCATAGCTGTATTTCAGCAGCTAGTATCAGCTCAGCTTGGTTTCTAGTCAGCAAGAGGAACCAGTTAAATCAGAGGCCACCAGACTCGGGGGCACAGCTAAAAGCAGCCTCTGTGAGCCTCCCAGGGGTTACCAAGGAAGTTTGAGGGCTGGCAGCTCCTTGCCTGGGTTTGTTGGTCTATGTGTCATTCTCAGGGTGCAGGGGCAGGCGGTGTGGCTCGTGCCCAGGAATCCCCCAGATGCCAGTGGCTGGGGACCGTAAGGTTGAAGGTATGAGAGGGTGAAAATGGCAGCTGACCCAGGGTTCTGCTGGGTCCAACAGTGGGAGATACCATGAGGTAGGGGCCAGGAGCTGGTCACTCTGCTGGTGCCTGAGAAGGCCCCAGGGCCTGTATGGGAAGGTGGCTCAGATCCCCCGCAGACCCAGGTGCAGACTCAAGGGTCCTGCAGATAGGGGCATGGCCTCGGCAGTAGAGTCATAGTCTAGAGTGTAGGTTCTGGAGCTGGACCGTTGGGGAGTGAATCCTGGCTCCACTGCACACTGTTTGTGGGAATAGGAGCCTGTGACTTGATCTCTGCACCTCATGTTTTTCCTATAAAGTGCATCTCTAAAAGGATACAACTCTTTAGAGCTAATATAGGTGAAGCACCAAGGTTGAGTTGGCATCAATAGGCTACGAGGCTATCTGATGTCTCTTTCATTTAGGACTTCTCCATAGTTGCGCGATTCTAAAACAGGAAAGCTAATGTAAAACCTTTTGAATCCAAGTGTGATTACGTAGCATATAATATAACCAAGTGAGAAAAGAATGACAGGCACAACATCATGTAAATTAAAGGCAGAACAAAATGACAACCCAAACTTTATTTAGTCAGTAGGGGCACCTGAAGACCTAGAGGAGTGGGGCAGCTCATTACAGGCACGGCATGAGTGGGCCGGGCTGGACCGGACCTCTTGCCTTCAATTTGGGTGAATCGCCTTATAGCAAGCGCTGCACCAAGATTCCCAGAAAGCTGAATGTATTTATTTACCATTATTAGAAGACTCATATTTTTCTTGTGAACCTAGCACTAGAGCTTGAGATTTAATACCGAACTCAAATGTTTCTTGAACATGCATCTGAACCCCGTTCTTAATCTTTTCCGTTTTATAACCCAGTGAGAAACAACCCCTGATGGAAACAAAACACCTCCCTTTTCTGCTAAGAGTCTGTTAATTATTGATCAATCAATAATTATTTATTATTGATCAATTAATAACAGAAGCCATTATTGCCTAATCGTGTTTAATTTATTAAGGAGTCATTAGTTACTAACTTATTAATGGTCAATTAATTATCAACTGATTCATTATTACTTCTATATATCTATTAATTACCATTAGTTTTATAAGGATATTAACATTCCGGTAATGATATTTTGAGCAACTCTTATCCTTAGAGTGTTAAAATACAAAACACAGTGTTTCCATTGAAAGTTTCAACTTGCATAAGACTGCTGTTTGTCACCACCCTTTGTGGGATGCTTGCTGGAAACTCCTCGCTGTGCCCCAGGCTTCCCCCTCACTAATGAAGCAGCCAGAGGCGTTTTATCAAAACCTAGGCCCCGTGTCGCGTCACTCCTCTCTGCGCAGAGCCCTCCGGCCACTCGTCTCATCCAGGGTGAAGCCCTCCGCCTTGCTGTCTTGCTCTTGGCCTCACTGACCTCCTTGCTGTTCTGGCTCTACCTGCTCAGGGCCTTTGCTGCAACCTATCCCTGGAACTCTGTTTCCCTCCAAAACTGTTTCAAAAGTGAGCAGTTTCCCTCGCTCCCTTAATTCCACTCGGTCTCTGCTTGAATGATCTCCCTCGGAGAGAACTTCCCCTGACCATCTCATCTAAAGCAGCCGCCAACCCTCCTGCTTAGGCAACTTCATTGCACTTGTCACCCCCTGGCTTGATGCTTATTTGGCTTCCCTGCATGTTTGCTGTCTGTTACTCCTTGTTTCTGTGCCCTGTGAGGGCAGGGATCCTACCTGTCACGTTAACTGCTGTATCCTTAGCACCTAGAACAGTTCCCGGCATGCAGTACATGGACAGTAAAGATTTGATGAGGATTTTGTCTAAATGAATAATTATAAAATGCAAATATAATTATAACGATAATCAGGAAGTTTATTGAGAGCCTTATAATAGCTGTGGTCCTATAGACTTCGGAATCATAGACTCTTGTTAAGAACCTCATGGCTGCACAATTGATCTGACTGGATTGATGCCCTGTCAGTGGTGCTCTCTTGGGGTCAAGGGCAGCATTTCCAGAGCCCACAGCACTTGAGGTTTTGTTAAGTCTGAAGTCTTCCAAGGTGGTGACTGTCTTTCAGGGCCCTTTATCACCACTGCCAGCCCATCCCAAGTAAGCTGCAGACCAGGTCAGGCCCAGAGGCAGCCCTCATGTCTTGGTGTGCATGGCCCTCTGTCTTGAGAAGGAGAGGGGGGAGCAGCATTGTATAAGGCAGCAGAGGCAAGGTCTCCATAGATTACGGCTAAGGCTAGAGTCAAAGCCCCGTTGTCACATATACAAAATGCACACGGAGGAGTTAGCCACGGCTTGACCTCATCACCCTCACCACCATTACAGGTTTGAAGATGGCACCATCTCCTTCCTTGACGTGATAGCGCTAAAACATGGATTCGATGTCTTAGAGCGCCTCACAGGTCAGTGGACCTCTTTATCTGTGTGGAATTTGCTTCCTGTTGCCCGTGTCCTCGAGGGAGCCCTGGCCTGGGTGGGATTCAGATAAGGAGAGAGTCTGTGCAGGTGAGCGGCACATGGCAGCTCTGCACTGATGCAGATGAAGCTGATTCTAAAGAACTTCCAGAAATGACTTCTGAGGGAAGAGCAAGAAACTGGACCTTTTTTTTGGTTGGTTAAAAGAACATTTTAACAAGTGATAGACATTCCAAATCCAGAGATTAATAACCTCACAGATGCAGAGGAGCCCTCCTTGGTCCCTGCACTGGGAATGCTTACAGATCCTGAGACCTTATTTAGCTCTTACCTCGCTGGGTCTTCCCACAGGGGAGCTTTATGATGAGCCCACTTTGCCCACGAAGGAGCTTATGCTCAGAGAGGTTGAATGCCTTCCCCAGGACCAGGGAGCTGGAACCTGGGAGGGCTAGGGTCTAAACCCAGGCAATGCTAACGTCTAACCCTGAGCCCCCAAACACTGTCTATTCTGCTGGCCTTTGCAATGATACATGTTTTCTTTCCTGACAAGTGCTTGGGGTGTGTGAGCAGGTGGGGGACATTCCCCACAGGCTAACACAGATGGATGCCACTTCCCATCTTATGGGACTTGGCACAAGGCACAAGGCTGGAAGAACCTCTGACTGGTGAGCCATGACTCCTCACTCCTGCTGTGCTCTGGACGCTCCTTTCAGAGGCTAAGCTTCTAGAACGGGGTGACACTGCTTGTACCGTCCACATGGGTATGGGGTTATGGTGAACCAGGGATGCGGCTTAGCAGTTAGGCAGCCCTCTGTCTCTCTCTGTCTCTCTCTGTCTCTCTCTGTCTCTCTCTGTCTCTCTCATCATAATAAGGGGACCCTTAGGTCCTCAGCCTAAGCCTAAAACTGCGGGCAGACAGAATTCATAGGAGGGCTATTGTGACAGTAATGCAGGGAGGTGAGTGGGCATCATCCAGACAAAGAGGAGATAATCAAGATAGACATTGAGAAATGAGCACTTTCTCAAGGACAGATACTAGCAAGGTATCCAAACCACAAGTGAGAGGGTCTGGCAGAGCCAGGGGCACCTCTGAAGGCAGATTGACAATATCAGCCCCACAGTAAGGCAAACCCTGATTTTTCCTACTTAATTAGGCTCTTTTTTAGAAAAAATTATGGTGAAATCTATGTAACATAAAATGTACCAGTTTAGCCATTTTAAAATATTCAACTCAGTGGCATTAAGTATATTCACATCGTTGAGCAGCCATCGCCACTACCCTTCTCCAGGACTTTCATCATCCCAAACTGAAAAAACAGTAACTCCCCATTTCCCCTCCCCCAGCCCCTAGTAACCTTTATTCTCCTCTCTGTTTCTATGAATTTGCCTATTCTAGGCACCTTATGTAAGAGGAATAATACAATATTTGTCCTTTCGTGTCTGGCTTATTTCATTTCGCATAATGTTTTCAGGGTTCATCCATGTTATAGCAAGTATCCTTAACTGCTTTGTATAATATTAAAATGATTTAGGGAACTTCCCTGGCGCTCCAGTGGTTGGGACGCCAAGCTTCCACTGCAGGGGACGCAGGTTCGATCCCTGATCGGGGAACTAGGATCCCGCATGCTGTGCGGTGTGGCCAAGAAACTAAAAAAAAAAAAAGATTTAAACATTAACGAAAACAAACAGCAACAGCAAAAAAGAGATACATTTAAAGACAAAATTGTACATTTTTGCAATCTGTTACCAAAGGGTCTAAATTATCTGAATGCTTAAGTAACATTTTTTTTTTTAAAGGAAGATGACTTCCCATTTATTGGCTGCTATAGTCTTTCAATGATATAAGCAGCTATACGCATGGGGTAAAATAATGTTGGGCCATTGTAAATTGAGGTGAAGTAACCATTTCATCTCCTCTCCATGGTCTAGACATTGCTTCCATGTCTAAATGTCCTGTGTAAGCAGGATTTCATCAAGGCACTTAGAGTGAATTTCTGCATGCACTTATTAAAGCATTGATTTAAGAATTTCACTGTTTTTAAAATAGCACTGAGGCTCACACCTCTGCATCAGTCATCTTACGTGGGGCAAATGATTTCATGTGTGACGAGGTGGAGCGCTCTTTACATGAAGCTCTTTGTGTAGTGGAGAGTTTTGGAGTCGAAATCTGTGGCTCCGGGTGAGGGTACTGTAGAAGGCAGCCCTTTCCATACACCTCAAAAACTACGTACCAGCATGGGCTCCCGGGAACAGCTTGCTATTGCCGGGTTTGCAAGATCTCTTCTTGTTATTCCTAATACTCTTGCAGTTAATGCTGCCCAAGGCTCCACAGATCTGGTTGCAAAACTAAGAGCTTTTCATAATGAGGCTCAAGTTAACCCAGAACGCAAAAATCTAAAATGGATTGGCCTTGAATTGGTCAATGGTAAACCCCGAGACAACAAACAAGCAGGGGTGTTTGAACCAACCATAGTTAAGGTTAAGAGTTTGAAAGTTGCAGCTGAAGCTGCAAACACCATTCTTCAAATTGATGATCTTATTAAATTATACCCAGAAAGCAAAGACAATAAGCATGGAGGTTATGAAGATGCTGTTCACTCTGGAGCCCTTGATGACTGATCTGATTTCTTTGATTTATGACAATGTTAGATGCAGTTTTCTTGTACCTCGAGTATTACACATTAAAGTGCAAAAAGCTGGAAAAAAAAAAAAAAAGGAAGATGGCAACAACAATTCCTATGGAAAAATTCCACAGAGGCAGCAGTGGTAAACTGTCGTTCAGTACCAATGACCTAATCATTTATCATGTGGGCAGTACCGTGAACTATTTACAAGTATTTAAAATCATTAATATGAGTTCCAAGTTTGCCAGTTATAATGATCTCATTTTCTTAAAAATGAGATAGGGGATTTTACATAAAGTTTATGATCCCCTTTTGTTTTCATAACTGTTTTGAGGTGGAATGGAGAACATCAGGCAGCACACCTTTACCCTGGCTCAGTACACCCACGCCGCCCTGTCCACCCTCCGGTACCCCAACGGAGCCCCTGTCGTGCAGATTTACAGCGACTCTGAGTTCAGCAGCCCAGAGGTTCAGGGTCCGGTCATCAGCTTCAACGTGCTCGATGACAATGGGAACATCATTGGTTACTCCCAGGTGGGTTTTCTTTTCATCTTGCTGACCTGTTCACAACAGAATCACTCTTGTCTGGAATTCTGTAGCCTTTCTGAGCCCTGAAATTTGCAGTCAAGGCCTCTGGGCCCTTGCAATAGCCATGATGAATCCTGTTCACTGTTGCAGAGGCCACTGGTCCTTCCTTAGAGGCTCTTTACTCTTGTTCTAACAAGCACTGCTATTTAGTTCTTCAGCCCTCCTTATTTAGCCACAGGTGATCAATTTCAAATGGGAAGAGAGAGGTCGAGCCTCTGATGGCAGTGGGAGGGGACAGCTGAAGCTTGCCAGCAAGGGAAGACACCCTAAAGTAGTGTAGACAGAACAGCCTGTCTGATGTCGTTTCATGTACAAACAGCTTGGTAGCCCCACTGATACATCAGACCATATAGTGTTATACAAAATTCTGGGCCTCTTACCACCATTTGTTTGCATGTTGCTTGGAACTCATAACTCTTTTTTTTTTTTAATGAAGTAGGAATGATGTCCTTAGTAGCACAAAAGACCTTATGTCTGCCATAGTTCATCCATATTATGAGTTCAAAGGATTTGGTAGATTGGTTATAAAGTAGTTTCTGTAGATATACCCTTTTTATGTATTTGCCCATGAACACAATTCAGGTTTGGGAACAGCTTGGATCCTTACCACAGCTGAGTAAGCTGGTCACTGCCCAGTACATTAAGAAATCTAGAGTCACACTGAGCACTCAGATATGGCCCTGGGTGGTCAGCAGATGGGCCGTCACACACGGGGCATGGGGAGCCCAAGGCCCTTCTCAGAGCCCGGGTTTCTATAACTGCCGTGAGGAGCAGATTTGATCATCACATAAGTTTGGAAGATAGTGCTCATCTTCCCTTGAAAGCCACTATCTCCATACACCTTTGTCAAACCCAGAATTTCTCAAACAAAATCCATTTCTCAAGGAATCCTGTCCCCACTTCTGAATAGCCATAAACTTTCTGAGGAACCAACTTGAGAAATATTCTCTGGGGGAAATGTTGGTTCTCACTGGTGTCCAGGGGCCAACACTCTACAACCATAAGCTGTCCCTTGGGTGAGTTGACTGTGAAGACCCCAGCCCACACTGCCCCTCACTTACACAGCCCAGCACCATTCAGAAGCAGGCTTCTGAGGGGTGGTGGAAAATGCATCGGGGCCAAAGGTTTGCCTTCTCAGATATGTTATTCTAGGTTATTGGTACAATAAGTTTCGTTCCCAAACCTAATATAAGTGTATGTTTTCAGGGGTGTGGAGGAGGGCAGACAAGCGACCATGAAGTGTGCTGTGGCAGGCATGTTACCAAACTCACGTTGGGCTGCTCACCACTCAAAAGCCAATAATCGAGGGGCAAGCGTCAGTAGAAAGGAAAGGTGCTTTATTCAGAAAAACTGGCAATCTGGGGAGAAAGTGGACTCATGTCCGGAGACCAGCTCCGAAGATTCTGCTCAGCCATGACAATTTTTAAAGGGAAAAAGGGGAAACAGTCTCAGTTAACCATTAAGGTAGGAGATCAGATTCTTCATCATCTTTCCATTGCGTGCAGACCCACTGACTTCTGATCTTCGTTTGGTGCTGTCTTGCCCTCATGGTCCACCTGCAATTGGATGTTCTCTTGCCCCTGTTGTCCGCCTGCAAATTTGCTAACAGGGAAGCTGTTATTCTTTAACTACTTAATTAGAGAGTCAGTCATTCTTTAACTACTTAATTCTTCATTCTTACTCCTTTTGATCCAGGGAAGGAATCAACCGGTTAAGCAAGGCATTGTGTACCTTCATAGAGCGGAAGTCCGGAGTTAGGTTCAATGTTACCTAGTGAATCTCATTTTCACAATTAAGGTCTGTCTGAGGAAAACAGAAATGAACAAACAGAAAAGGCGCAAAAGAGCTGCTTACAAATCCCCACTATCAGACATCATTGCATTTCTATGGGAATAGGAGTGAAGGTCCAGCTTCTGTAACTGCTTCATGCTGAGAGAAGGTGTCGAGATCTTGGAGAGAAAGACGTCGACATGGGTCTGTAGCATCTCTCTGCTGACAGTTTTAGTTGCCCGCTCACCTATATGGGCAGAGCAAGCTACAGTTATTCCTGTGCCCACAAAGGTACAGATTATTACGAGCAATGGCATTAATCCCATTCTTTCATCAGACACAGAGTCTGTGACTCTCTTGCCCTAATCATTAACTGCTCAAGCCTTTTCTTTTGTGACTCTGGGAGGCCTGGGAGACCAGCTTTTCTACAAATAAGAGGCAGCATTTGTACTTGGCGGTGGGTGGTGGGCCCACAGGGTTCTGCTTGGCCCAAGCAGTGGTGAAAGACACCCCCCCCCCCCCCGTTTGCC